GTCTGTTCGAATTTGAAAACGTTCGAATTCGTCGTACCCCCGAATTTTGCGACCTAAAGAGAAAACGGCGAGAAAAAAAATTTAAAAATACGTTCCGGAAAAATCGCGGTGGTAAGATAAAAAAAATCAAAATTCATACTGGCGCTCTTCGAAATGTCAATACCGTTGCGAGACCTGGTCGTATAATAGGCCGTCCCTTTAAACGGTTGTGTCTGTGTTTCTTGTCTGCAGCGCGCTGCAAATTATCCCTCAATCTAACTCCAACTGTTTTCTAGACAGAAGAACATCGCATTTTGATTTTTTTTCCTTACCAATCCATTGATTTTTTTTCCTAACAATTAACATATATCGTACAGGTGAAATAATAGTGATCATGATTCGTGAATTAGTGTAAAACTTCGATTTTATTGCTGTGAGTGATTTAAGGGTTACTGTAGATTTTTCAGTTCCCCTGACAAGGGAAGTGTTTTCAGACAGTAGTTGAGAATTTCTTGAAAATTGGTACACATATACTTTCGGACATGGTCAATAACGAGACGACTTTTTTCGTGCCCCTCGGTACCTAGAAGCTGAAAAAACTCGTCTGAAATTTCACCACTGTTAAAGCATGTAAAGCGTGAGCGCGATCTCCCCCTTTCTTATACAAGTTGTGGAAGCAGTGAGGAACAGCGAGTGTGGTGCAGGCCTGTGCGGCAACAAATTGCCGATTGCCGAAATTGCCGAATTTTTGTTGCCGATTTGCCGTTGCCGAAATCGGCAACGGAGAAATAGTTGCCGAATTGCCTTTGCCGATTTCGGCAAAAAAATTTCGGCAATTTCGGCAACTGAAATTTTTTTGAATAAAAAGACGCAAAACTTTTGTTGCCGAAAATTGCCGAAAGTTGCCGAAATTGCCGAAATTTTTTTTCGGCAATTGCCGAGTTGCCGAACGTTGCCGAGAAGTATTCGGCAAATTGCCGAGTTGCCGAATTGCCGAAAAAATTGTGTTGCCGCACAGGCCTGGTGTGGTGTAGTGGTGAAGAGGGATGGTGGTAACTGACAGGGGCTAGTTCGATCCCTTTTTCCCCGATTTGTTTTCTGTTTTTTTTCTGATCCTGCTGAAAATCTCAGTGTGTCAAAACCTTTAGAAAAAATTTCCATTCAGATTTTTATTAATTTTGAAAAAAAAATATTTTTGACTTGTTTCAAAAAAACTCAAGAAATCATTTTGAAATTTTCTTGCAGAACTCCTGCAAAACCATCTTTAATCAAATTGTTAGTCAGAACCACCCAGATGTGCTCAGTTTGGGTGCGGAACAGTAATAAATTAGTCAGAAATTATGTAAACCTATGTTTTTACAAGATTTGAGTGCTACTGGGTGATTACCGCAGGCCTACGATCCATTAAAGTTTTGAAAGAAAGCACATATTTGTGATTTCCAGAAATATTTAGAATACCAAATTTCATGAAAAAACTCATTTTACCGGTTCTTTACGTTTAGAAATCATTCTAGCACATTTGAAAATTTTTCAAAAAATTGTAAAAATATCCAAAATTTTTTTTGAAAAATGAGGCTATTTTCTCAGATTGTAGAGAAACCTTCAAAAGGACGATTTACATTCGAGAAACTCCGAACAACTGTTATTAACCCCTCCAAAAATTCACTCCAAAAGTGAGAAATTAGCACTGAAATAACTTTCAGAGCCCATAACTTTTTTGTGAGGGGCAAGGGGCAAAAAATAAAAGCAGCGCTGTGATCAGCGTGTCCAAAAGTACCAATGACCAAAGTTTGAATAAATTCTCAACCACTGTCTGAAAACACTTCCCTGTGAGTTTTCTCTCGCCCGTGCAGACAGGGCGCTTGCATTACAAAATTGCGTACTTTTTAGCTCAACTTCGAAGACGTCAAGCTCATGAAAAACAGCAGAATTTTTTAAAAAAATATATCAAAATGGATAGAAAAACTCATCAACTATTTTTTTAAACAAACAATTCACACTAATTTTCATGGCTGATAGAATGAGAGGCTATAGAAGCAAGGTACCATATTTTCAGAAAAATAGGATATTTCAGACTACTCAGATGCATTATTTTGAAACTAGCAAAGAATCAACGTAACATGAGTCTAGTTGAATACTCTGACCAATTTTGGCTCATCTACTATACTCTGAATAACTTTTGTAGGCCAATTTGTAGTGATTTTTGGACGTTTTGGTTGCAAATTTCTTTAAAAATAAATTTTCGAAAAATCCGAAACCAACAGTTTGTAGAAAATTTAGAGCCAATTATTTTGATGTATCATCCAAAATAATTGGTCCACGGAGACTCTCAAAAAATACAGGTCAATTTTTCAGTACTAAATCTCGCTTTTTTGAGAGTTTTTGAACTTTTCGAAAAATCAAAAATTTTTATCGAAAAACTGCTTCCAACAGAATGTTTTAAACTTAATTGCGGTCATTTTGAGCCATAAACCAGCTTCTTTGCTTGTGAACTCATGGAATAAAGTGGGTCCAGAATCTGTTTTTCTTATTTTTTTAGGTTCCAGGCTGTAATTTTATGAGAATTCTATAATTCCACTATCGTTCTTGACCGTCTTGGAAAAAAATTTATCAAAAATGGTCCAGTTTCAGCTTTTTCAGCCATTTTTTCAATCTGTGTCCTAGTGACGAGAGTGAAGAGGGCGCAGACAGCGAGAGTAAATTTGAAATTTTTTCACTTTCCGGAGGCCGTGCTAGGAGACTAACAACTTCAATTTATTGAATTTTCCCTCTCCTATTCTTAATTCTCTTGAGACCCCGGAAATTCCGGGGAAAAAAACTCCGGGAAAAAAAAACTCCGGGAGACCTCTCCGGACAGTGTATCTCTATTGTATACAGTTTCACTAAACTGCTCTATTCTGTGAACGTCGTCGCTCAATTTTTCATTCTTAACGCATGTCTGAAAAGCAGTGAATTCGTTTTCTTTGGATTCCAAGTAAGTCTTTCTTTCAGTCGCCTTCCAAAGTTTAAATTCCTTCATTTCAGGTTCTGAGTGATATCTGGGCAGGCCGCCCGTGGACAGAAACTGGTCATTTTCCGAGAGTAACACTGTGTGATTTTGAAGTTCGATACCTTGCAAACCTGAATAGATACACTGTTCAATGTGCTCTCCTAATCAATATCATCAACG